ATAAGAAAAAACTAAGACGGTATCTTTATCAGAAGTCGAGCTACTGATACCTCAAAAATCAACGTAAAGCAGGGGTAAAGCTTTGTCAGATAGATTTTCGACCCCTTATAGGTTATTTTAAAATTCTATTTTAGGCTCATTTGAAAGCCCTTGAAATTTGCTACAAGATAGCAAGAGCCATATTTTTCAGAAAAAATTATAAAGAAAGATATGGTCGTTAAACCAATTAGCCTGAGAATACTCGGCTTCCAAAAAATAATACTTCGAGAACTACAACGCGTACATATTTACTAAAGTCATATTATTACGTACAATCTTTTTAATTATTTAATATGGTTAAAAATAACTAAGGTGAGATCCGGGTGTAAATTTAGGTATTATCGTCTGAAAACTTCTCCATCTTTCTCTATGTCTTTGTCTATACTAAGAAAAATAGCCTAAGATCTTCTTGGCTTCCAAAAAATATTTCTACCAACTTCTACATTCTACATTTATTTCTTCATAAAGTATTATTATGCAATATTTTTTAAATTAATTAATAGCTTTCAGATTAATAAAAATAAACGGGAAATATGATCATGGGGTTCATGACTAAGAGTTTTACTGAAGTTTAGCCACCGTGCAGAGCCTGAGACATCTGATTATGGGTTAATTACATGTTGAATATAATCATAGGATAACTGACTTGAATAAATTCATTTAATTTGTTACAGTAGTGGAGTAGCTAAACAAAGTGTTGTGTATGAACGAGAACAGTTACAGAAAACAGTTACAGATAAAAGCCAGCCAATAGTTAGTTCTCTCTCTTGTCTTCTTCCTTCTTCATATTTCAACCTTAATCTTTTTCTTGTGTATTTTCTACGTGATAAGCTCTTGTGAGTGTTCAGTCTTCTTCATTATCAAGTCAGGTACATAACAAAAAAGCAAATAAATTTTGTCAAATGATAACTTTGACATCCAAAAAATTTTGGTTTAAGAATAGAGAAACGTGATTCATAAATAAAATTGAATTTTAAATAACCACAAATTGGTATAATTTAATATTGTTTAAATGCCTACAGTGCTGGTCAAAAGTATAGCCGCACTTGATAAAATTGTATAACTTTTGATTAAATTGTTCCAAAATTTTAAAACTTTGTGAAAATATTTCTGAAGTCAATAGAAATTGATTAGGATAAAGAGTATTTAAAAATTTTTTAAAACATAGAGCCAAAATTTAAAATATCAAAAATTAGTAAATTTTTTACTGGTCAAAAGTATAGCCGCACTTTGGATTTTCATGTTTCTAATTTTAGGAAAAATCTACAAAAATTTCACATAACATATTTATCGATACTAAGAAAAAATAAAAAAGAACTAGGCCGATATCTCATTTCAATGTCGAGATCTCGATACCCTGAAAATAGGGGTAAAATAGGGGTAAGACTCTTTAAAAAATATTTTCGACCCCATATTGATTATTTTTAAATTTCTATTTTGGCTTATTTGATAGCCCCTGAAATTTGCTATAAGATAGCCTTAATCTTATTTTCCAGAAAAAATTAATTTGAGAGATTCATACTACTATATTACCATTATTAAATTATCGATTGATTAGAACAAGAGGGCTCTGAAGAGACTGGCTATCGGGTGAGAGAAGTCAGAGAAAAAATTTTTTCTCTCACCCAATAGCCAGTCCCTTCAGGCCCTCTTGTTTCTAATCAATCGATAATGTGCAAACCCAATCCTTTTGGGGCTTGCGGGGTTTGAATGGAGTACTGCGGAGGCTAGGCTAAATTGTATCGTAACGCGATTCTGGGCATTAAAGGGTATCAAATGATGCCTGAAGCGGGGTTCGAGTGACCATTTTTCTTCCCTCTGACCATTTTATAACTTGTCTCCTTCTGACCCTTTCTCTTGTTTCCAATAAAGTCAGACGCACGAGAGATGAAATATAATTTGGAAAATAACAGACATTTAATTTAAATTTTGGCGTTATGTTTAAGGAACAGAGTTAGCTTTTTTTCGCGCGTGCGTCTATATATCTATATGGACAAGATTTTTTATTGATTTTGCTTGTCCATATATTTCTATCGCTTGTTTATATATTTCTATGGGCAAGCATTTTATTAATTTTATTTGCAAATATTCTTCACAATTTTTTTTGCAAAATTTAAAATTACTCATTTTTAGGGTAAATACACCGCCACCACTCGTCACAGGAGTGGTGGCGGTGTTAAAATTAATCTTCAATTTAATGATAATCTTAAAAAGTAAACTGTACATTAGAAAAAACTGTTGGATTTGGGAAATGCTGCTCTTGAATCGAATGTTCCCTATAGGTTTATTTATTTTTTGATTCTTCGTAAACATTTTTAAATTTACAGTTGGACCGCGTTTTATGTCTACAAATCAATCTAAAATAATTGATAGAGGTTCTGAAACAACGTTTCAATGCGAGGTAAATAAATTGTCGAAACATTATCTAATTTGATTATCCTTTATACCACACTTCCTCATAGTACTTCGGCTAAATTAAGTCCTGAGAATACATATTAGATTAGGGTACACCTCACGAGCCTTTGCGGGTTGGTGTGCTGGGTTTCGGGGTTTAGAGCATTCTGGGTTTGGGTCGTAGTTTTTGCCTAAAAATTCGGGAGACGAGGTATTACCTTATATTCGAGTGATTCTCTCGTAGATATTTTAAAACGTGCAAATAGTTTAAAATTATAATATTTGTCTTCCTAGGTTCTCGGTAATCCAACGTCTATAATTTGTTGGTATCATGGAAAGGAACAAGAGACACCAATTCATGAAGGAGCAAAGTTTGTAAAATTAAAACATTTTAATAATTAAAATTTTTAGTTTAACTATCAAAAATGCGCAGGATTGGGAGGAAGGAGAATATAGGGTAGTTTTTTGGAGTATACATTCAAATAAAAAATATTTTCAAATTTTAAGTGTATTGCCGAGGGTGAAGGCTTTCCTTGAAAAACATTGTATCATCAATTATAGTTAAAAGGACCTCTAAAAGCAAGATTTATAGAATATATACTTTCTGAAAATGAAAAGGACACTACTCTAATTTGTGAGGTACACTGGATTTTTCTTAAAGAATTAATATGTTAGAGGGATAATTATATAATTTCACATATTTCTTTTTATGTTTCATTGATATGATTTTTTAAAAATTCGTCGTCTATGCCCCCTTTCATAGCCCCCCCCCTCTTCTTAATAGACTTGATTTTAATTTTAAATCATTTAAAGAATCACTTGGATTCTCAATTCTTTAAAGCAAATAAAATATCAAGAAATCCTTCTAGTTTCGTGTTTTTGTGCAACACGAAAATCTTAGCGTACCCTGTTTTTTCTAAAGATTATTCATTTATTTATCTCCTAAATTCTCGAAATATACCAAGTAATAAGAATAACAAATAAATCCATATCTAGGTACAGTCAAGAGTATTGCCAGTTAATATCCAATGGTTACATAATGGCCTACGAATGGATGTTGCAGAACGTATTAGAACGGGTGAAGGAGATGGAAATAACAACAAAAACAAAAATCGTTAAGTTAGCAATGATAAATTGGGCAAACATTTAATGCTATCGAAAATGAAAATTTTTGATTTTGTTGAACAAGATTTGGGGCTGTGGAATTGTTCAGCACGTAATGATTATGGGATTGTCTGGGAACAGGAAGATGTTAGATTACTTGGAATTTTTGATAAAATTGGTAAGTTTTAAAAATAAGTTATATTTAAAAGGGTCTCCAAAAGTCAGATTTATAGAATATATACCGTTTGAAACTGAAAAGGATATTACTTTAATTTGTAAAGGGTAGAGCCCTATGTGTTCGGGTCGGAGTTTTGCCTAAAATGCGGTAAACGGGGTATATTAGAGTGATTCTTTTGTGATATTTTTAAAACGTAAATAGTTTAAAATTATAATATATATTTTTTCTAGGTTCTCGGTAATCCAATGCCAATTATTCGTTGATAGTATGGAAAGGAACAAGAGACCAATTCATGAAGGAGCAAAATTTGTAAAATTAGAAAATTTAATAATTAAAATTTCTTGCTTTAGTTTAACTATCAAAAACGCGCAGAATTTGGAGGAAGGAGAATATAGGGTAGCTTTTTGGAGTATATCCTAATTAAATATTTTTAATTTTAAGTGTATTGCCGAGGTGGAACAATTCTTCAAAAACGTAGCATCAATTCTATTTAAAAGGACATCCAAGAGTCAGATTTAAAGAATATATACTTTTTGAAAATGAAAAGGATATTACTTTAATTTGTGAGGTAAACAATGATTTTTTTAAAAGTCAATATTTTTGATTGTGATAATTATTTAATTCAACAGTTTTTTTAAAATGTTTTTAAGAAACTATAAGAGGAAATATGTAGGATTATTTTAAGAATCCCTTGTCTATTCTCCCTCATAGGGGTTGGTTCATAAAATGTATGAAAAATATTTTTTCTTAAATATTTTTAAAAATTTTATTTAGAATGAAGATATTAAATTTTACTCGTAAATATTTAACTGAACGGACTGGATTTCTGGTTATAATGAGATTACAGTTTGCCTTTAGTGAGTTAAAAATTTTATAAATTGATTAGGCTTTCTTTATTTAAAAAAACATATTTTCAAAAAACTTTTTAATTAAGTTTAAAAATTTAGTTTAAAACGAATTAGTCATTAATTTTATAGATAGAAAATTAGATAACGAAAAATTTTATGCTCAAAGCGGCAAATTCCTAACCCTTTCAAATGGACAAATATTTACTATTGTTTAATTAAATGTAAATGCTTGTCCATTTGAAAGGGTTAGGAATTTGCCGCTTTGAGCATAAAACTTTGTCGAATCTAATTTCATTTAACATTTTTTAAAAAAAATTTAAACAAATTCATTTAATATTATTATTTAAAATTTTGTATTTTCTGAAAGTTTTCTATTTCCAAATTAAATTTATTATTAAAAATTTAATTATTAAAAATTTAGATTTAGAAAAAAATAAATGTCCTCCAATTCAAATTCTAATAGAAAAAGAAAGAAATCCCCTGTGCCACCAAATCAAGGAAGTAAAACTTCTGCTGTAGCTACCCAAAATAATTTACAACAACAATTAATTGTTCAACGTGTGCAAACTACTAGTAATCAGACAAATGTAGCAGGGGGACAACAAAATCAACAAATAATCCAGACAACTAATTCTGCGGAACGACAAATACTGGAACAGGAGGTAAAAATTTTTAGAAAATTTACAATTGAAAAAAAATGTTTAACCTTTACAAATTATTACAGATAGCAGAAAAAAGAAGAAACCGTGCTATAACTCAACCTGAAAATTTACATTTGTTGAACTTGATTGATCCTGCCACCAATTTAACAAATACGGACGTACTCATGTTGCGATGGCAAAAGAAATTATTTTTGGGTAATTTTTGTTATTCCGAAAAATTTTTTTTTGAATTTTTTTAGAGAGCTAAAAGGGGTCGTGGTGTTTGTCAAACGCGCCCCTACAAGTAAAAACGGGTGGGATAGAGGAGACTTAATCGTACAGCTGGGACAAGAACACGAAAAAGAACGTGTGGCAGTTTTTGGCTGGAATGAATACGCTGGGATTTTGGCAACTGCAAATCTTAATGATGTACTAATTTAATATTTAAAAAAATTTTGTTTTAAAATTTCAGGTAGTTGTAATGAGAAATTTGATCGTTGTTCCGGAAGACTCTGTACGTGTGAAATGGTCCGGATCAATTGAGTTCAAATTGAAGTTTGTGAAAGGTTCTACTATGAATATTGAAGGGCGTGGTCAAATAAATGTTAATCAAGACGCGGTGATTGGCAGAGGTAATTAACACTTATTAAAAATAATCATACTAAAAATTTTTTGTTGAAAAATTTAAATTTTTTAAATGAAAATTTTGTTTAAAATTTTAATAATAAATTTTATTCAGGAGGTCCTTCTACTTCAACTGTCGCTGTTCCTCATCCAAATTCAAATACTGAAACTTTACAGCTGGTAGATAGATCTTCGAATTCAATTAATAATGGGTCTAATCCAGATCCAGAAATTGAATACGTGAGTTCATTTTAATTGTATAAGTTCTAAGTTACCTTTTCCCATTTAAAACATGTACGATTTGAATTTTAAAAAAAACAAACTTTTAACCAATCAAAAAAATATAAATTTTATATGTTTTCAAATTAAATTTTAAAGGATTTTACGGATTTATAATTTGCGTATACGAAAAGAATTTAAGATTAAATGAAAAGAATTTAAAGAATTATTAATGAAATAAAATTATTTAAAATATTGTTTTGAATATATTTTTAATTACATTGAATTTACTTCTAATTAATTTAAATTTAGTTTGAGTTTGTTTCAATTTAATTGATTTTAAACGGAATAAATTTTTTAAACTTGATTGAATGCGAAATTTTTTAATCTACAAAAAATTTATTTACGAAAAAAAAGTTTTGATTCACGCAATCCTTTATAGAAAAAATATTAGTCAAAAAAATTGTTTGCTTCGAAAATGTATTTATGAAAATTTTTGATTTTAGAAATATGTTTACTAAACGAAATTTTTGCTATTCTAATTTGTTAACGAAACGATATTTGTTTACGATTTACAAAATATGTACGAAATTTGTTTACTAAACGAAATTTGGTTGTATTCGAAATTTGTTTACTATACGAAATATTTCTTTACGAAATCTGATTAATAAACGAAATTTTTTGATGTACTAAGTTTGTTTTCTAAACGAAATTTGTTTACGTAATTTGTTTACTAAATGAATGTTGTTTACTATGTGAAATTTTTTTACGAAATTTGATTACTAGGTTTACGGAATTTGTTTACTATACGAAATATTTCTTTACGAAATTTTCAGATTCACAAAAAAAATTGTTTACAATACGAAATTTGTTTACTATACGAAATATGTCTTTGCGAAATTTGATTACTAAACGAAATTTTTTGATGTACTAAGTTTGTTCACTAAACGAATTTTAAATTTACAAAATATGTGCTCTACGAAGTTTGATTAATAAACGAAATTAGTTTAAGAAATTTGTTTACTATACGAAATTTTTGTTTTACGAAATTTGATTACTAGGTTTACGAAATTTGGTTACAATACGAAATATTTTTTTGCAAAATTTGATTAAACGAAATTTGTGCTTTATAAAATTTGATTACTGAACAAAATATTTAGATTTACGAAATTTGTTTACTAAACGAATTTTAATTTTACGAAATATTTGCTTTACGAAATTTGACTAATAAACGAAATTTTTGTTTTACGTAATTTGATTACTAAACGAAATTTGTTTACAATTCGAAATCTGTTTACTATACGAAATTTTTTAGATTTACGAAGTTTGTTTACGATACGAAATTTGTTCACTAAACGAAATTTGTTTACAATTCGAAATCTGTTTACTATACGAAATTTTTTAGATTTACGAAGTTTGTTTACGATACGAAATTTGTTCACTAAACGAAATTTGTTTACAATTCGAAATCTGTTTACTATACGAAATTTTTTAGATTTACGAAGTTTGTTTACGATACGAAATTTCTTCACTAAACGAAATTTGTTTACAATTCGAAATCTGTTTACTAACGAAATTTTTTAGATTTACGAAGTTTGTTTACGATACGAAATTTGTTCACTAAACGAAAATTGTTTACAATTCGAAATCTGTTTACTATACGAAATTTTTTAGATTTACGAAGTTTGTTTACGCTACGAAATTTGTTCACTAAACGAAAATTGTTTACAATTCGAAATCTGTTTACTATACGAAATTTTTTAGATTTACGAAGTTTGTTTACGATACGAAATTTGTTCACTAAAGAAATTTGTTTACAAATTTTTAGGTTTACAGAATTTGGCTACAATACGAAATTTGTTTACTATACGAAATATTGCTTTACGAAATTTTTTGATTTACGAAATTTGTTTACTATAAGAAATATGATTAATAAACGAAATTTTTTGATTTACGAAGTGTTTCACTAAACGAAATTTGTGTACGAAATTTTTGATTTACAAAATTTGTTTACTATCGAAATTTTTGTTTTACGAAATATGATTACTAAACAAAAGTTTTTGCTTTACGAAACTTGTTTACAATTCGAAATTGGTTTACTATACGAAATTTGATTACTAAACGAAATTTTTTGATTCACGAAGTTTGTTTACAATACGAAATTTTTTGTTTTACGAAGTTTGTTCACTAAACGAAATTTGTTTAGATGCACGGAATTTTTAAATGAAAAATAAAATCAAATCGTACATGTTCCTTCTAAGTATAATATAGGGGGAAATTATATATTAATCTAAACTCACTAGCTTTTTTCTAAATCAAATGTAGAAAAAAAAGATAGAGCGTTGGAAACTGTTCATAGGATTCATGTCTTCCAATATCAAAAATCATTTGATTTCGAAGATTTGATTCCTACGGACATATCCAACACTCTAGCTTTTTTCTACAATTAATTTAGAAAAAAAGCTAGGGGGCCCCTTTTTTTTTCAGGGTTCTCCGGCACCGTCACCAGTTGTCTCAGACATAGAAGTGGTCTTGGATACGCAGGACCAAGTAATTAAAAAAAATTATTGTAATTTGTAAAATTTTATTATAAATTCAGGTTTTGCCAGCAGCAAATCAAATAATCAGTCGATCCTCAAGGCCAACACGCTCTGCTAGAGGACGTCGTCCATTGGTGTCTCACTCAAATGTAAATTTTTTTGAAATAGTGTCGTTTTTCATTTTGGCTCTCCCCAGAATACCCATAATTGTTAGACATTCTCCCTCAAATATTAAACAAAACGACATTATTACCTTTTATTCATAATCTGTGCGTAATTAAAGAGAGTCTATTCTCATCTGCAATATCTTCATGACGCAACTCGCCAAGTGCGACGAATGACAAATGGTATCTTATATTGTTCTCAAACATGTATATTAATTAATAAACAATTCCTAAAGAAAATTTATAAAATTTTTCGTAAATTGTTTTATATTGTTTATTAATAAATATCATTCTGATCTTTTCCTAATTTAATTGTATTAGAATATGAGTCTATATCGCGTGCTGCAACTACTACTACTACTAGTTTAGAGGATGGGTTTTTTGTACCTACAATAGGATTATCAAACGAAGAAATACATATAGTTAGAAGATCAATAACGAAATTGCCGGTATCAATCACTGAAGCAAATGAGAGATGCACCTATTGTTTAAGCTTATACAAACCAAACAAATTTATCGTTTCGTTTACATGTGGCCATAATATGCATCTAAAATGTTTTTCAAAATATGCAGAAGGTTATAGAACATGTATGCAGTGCCGACGACATTTAATAACTGGGGAAGAGCAAACAGATTAGTGAGTGTTAACTATAGGAAGGGCATTGCTACGAGTACTAATTTTACATTGTCTACTCGTAGCATGTCTCTACAAGCAAGGATCCGAAAATTGTGAGGATTCTTGCTTGTAGACAGGTCTCCAAATTTAAAGAAGCCATATAATTTCCGAATGGCTTCTTGAACTTTGGAGGAATGATTCCTACGTGTTTTCCCCTCACTTCAAAAGAATCAAAGTTTTTTGAGTGTATTCTTTTGACGTGAGGGGGAAAAACTATTTAATTTGTTTTTGATAACATTTAACCACACCACTTTTATTTTTCAAAGTTTTTGGTAAAATTTGTAACCCAATTTTTATTTTTCAATATTATTTTAACCACATTGATTAACCACTTTTTTTTCAAATATTTTTTGGTAAAATTTGTAAACCAATTTTTATTTTTCAATATTATTTTAACCACTTAGAAAAAAAATTTTATTGATATTATGTGTACATAAAATTAATGTATTTACATTGATAGCAAATATTTTTAAACCTTAATTATATATTCAATATTCATATTTGCTACCAATGTAAAAGCAATTTTAAATTATAATATTTATTATCTTTTCTGCCATTATTAAATTTTTGTTTTAAAAATATTTACAATTTTATTTTCTTGCCTTTTATATAATTTTGTTAATTGCCTTCTTTTTCAGCAATTTTTTTTAGCATTTATATTAATAGCATTATTAATTTTAATCTCAACAATTCACTAATTATTTTTTTAAGGATTTTTTTTTTAAATTAGAGAATTGTTGTATTAAATTCTTTCCATAATATGTAATTTTTTAACTTAAATAAATATTAATAATTTTATTTTTTAAATTTTTTACTAGTCAGTTAAAAAAGTTTAGGTATCAGATTATGGGCTTAAAGATTTATTGTCACTCCTATATCTTTGTATAAATAAAAAAACAATTCTTCCTTAAACAAGCTTTTATATTGTCCTGGCATACATTTATTCGTTTCACTTATCTATAACTGCGCATGCTAAAAATTATATTTGAAAAAAAAGACTATTATTTTAAATTTAGATTGAAAACATGAGAAACTACTTTGTTATTGAAAGAATAGAGCCATTCGCCTCCCAATCACGAAATACTCGTGGTGAGATCGCCCAAATCAGATTTAATAATTTGGCCGATCACCCCCGACCTGACTTGGCTCTAACAACACTTATTGAACAACTTTTGGATCGGGTGCTCACCGGAAGACCAGCGCCTCTCCGCGTTGGTCTTCAGGTCCAACCACCAAATTTCCACCACCCATTTACCGTGCCCCTCCGGCCATTAGAACAAAATAATGCAGCAGCATTAGCCGCAGCTATAGAGAGATTGAACGAAATATCCCAGGCTGGGATAGACCTCTCAGGGACAACAACAACAAAAGTTGTAGCTGTATGGCCTTTAACTGGGCAGCGCACTAATAATCCAGC